AAGACAAACCCGCATTTATCCATGCTTGCACATAACTGCACTCAACACTGGTGTACGGACACACATCAGAGGGACTGTAATGATGGAATATGCACCGTCTCTTAATATTTAAATATGCCACACACTCTTGATAGGCTTCTCTTAGTCAAACTACAAAACTGTCATTCCAAATGCCACTCCCCAGTAATGTGAATGATAGCGGATGGAGAACGTTTTGTGGACGTGTCACCAGCTTTCCGTGACCATTGCAGCTCCCTTGGCAAAGACCACTTGCTGCTGAAGGACAGCTCTTGTTGGAAGAGAAGGCAAAAGCGGCACTGAACTCCCAAGCCCAACAGTCACCACCCCCTACTTAGACACGAGTTAGGCACCCACAGCCCTCCCCAGAGGACATGAACAGCTTTGGAGTGAGAGCCTGCCTGATCCCCACCTGACACAGGCACCTGACCCCCACGGGCACCTTCGCCAAGCTGGCCGAGGCCGGGGGCTGCTCCTCAGGACCACTGAAGTGTGAGTCTGTGGGACTCACAGCTCTGGGAGTACTGGCACGGAGCCCCCACGAGAATCCCTGCCGACGACCACAAACCTCCCGTTGCATTCCTGAGTGCCCGCAGCCAGGGGAAGCAGAGTCGGGAACTGGAAGTGGTCCCAGGAAGGTTTCGTTTGGCCAGGGCTCCCCTGCGCCTGCGGTCAGACACTGCTGGACCCCCCTGCAAAGGGAAGCCCGGTCTGGAAACCAGGATGTTTGCAGAGCCAGAGAAGCTGGAGGCGTGGGCTAGGATGCTGCTGCTGCTGCCAACCTGCTGGTGCCAAAGCAGAATCCGTCCCCGTACCAGGCCGATTCCAAAGTGGCTCAAACACGGCCGTTACCGCATCCAGAGGGAAAGCAAGAGGGCAGCAAACAGAAAACACAGCAAGCACCTGGGCCAGTCAAACGGTGATAAAGAAATCAGCGAGCTTGACAGCGATTAACACGCCTCGAAGCGTGTTTACAAGACAGAAAGCTGCAACCCCTCGCTCCGTAAAGCCTGTGCTGCAGCGCTCTGACACCTCACCTCCGGGCACCAGCCTGGGAGGGACTTAAGGGGTGTTTACAGTAAATGAACTCATTTTCTTTGCTAGAATTTACTCCATTTTCTGTGATGACTTCTTTATACGCAGCTTCACACCCTGCCTAGTGTATAATTTCTCATTTATTTATCAGAGAGCAGCCAGCACGCAGGAACTCACTTCTCAGTAAAGGCACCGTGCGTCCAGGAACGCAGCAACAACAAAAAAAGAAAACCAAAATGAATCTAGGACCTGAGCCTTACGTGAGAAAACAAGAGCCACTCCAAATATTTGGTCATGCCAAATGTTCACGACACCTCCTTCTGGTGACCCCTCCACGCGCAGAACAGCTCCTCACCTCCCCGTGTGAGGTCCCTCGGGGCGGCTGCACGGCCCCTGGCCTGGCAGGCACGGCTCCCGCGGGGTGCCACCAGCAGCCCTGCTGCGGTCACAGGCCCCATCTCCCAGAGCAGGAGGATGTCACACATCCTCACATCTTTGGGAGCCTTGACCCAGCTGCTGGAGGCTTCAGCCTCTGCAGTGATTAATCCCCACAGAATCACAGAATCGTCTGGGTTGGCAGAGACCTCCAAGATCACCGAGTCCAACCCCTGACCTGGCACTAACCAGTCCTCCACTAACCCATATCACTGAGCTCTACATCTAGATGTCTTTTAAAGACCCCCCATTTAATGTATTCCACAGCATACACTTAATAAATTACTCCATAACCGCACAGCAGAGAGAAGTCTGTTGTTTTAGAACTGTGCCAGATTTAACCCCTAATTTCCTGTGATTGCACAATACAAAAGAACTACCAGGTACACTCGCTTTTACCAGCCATGAGCTACAGAAACACAAAATGCAGGAAAAGAGGCTGCTTGTTCCAGAGACCATTTTGATCATCCTCAGATTTGTACCTTTGGGGATGCTAAGCGGGATCTGTTCACACATCACAGACAGGTAAATAGGAGCTGTTAGTAACCAAACACGATTCTCTCGGGTCTGTGAAGCCACGAGGGCAGCGTGGCCACAGCCCAGGGAACACCAGCCCGGGGACCAGTGCACCCTCAGCTCTAGGGCCACGGGGCCCTCGCTGCCTCCCCAGGGCGAGCAGCGAGGCCTCAGCCTCAGCCACAGCTCCGCAGGAGCAGAGCATCCCCCCGACTGCTCCCAGCCCGCTGTGCCATGGTTGGCACCTCCCTTGCACCGCCGCCTTCCCCGGTGCTGCTGGCGTGTCGGGGCTCCAGAGACAGCCGAGGGCGATCCCTCTCCCATGGGAGGGTTTTGGAAGGGTCAGCAGAGCAGCCCGGTTCTGCAGAGGCAGGCTGCCGGCTGCACTCCTAGTGATTTACCACGCAGCAATCCGTTGCTTTCATAAAAACATTTATACAACTTTCTCCCTCCTTCCTCAGGACTTCTCGTTAAATCCTAGGCAAGTAGCTGGGAAGCATACAGAGCAGGTGCAGGACAGAATTTGTACTTTGAAAACAAGCATTTCCTAAAATTACTTTGTCATAGAAAACAACTGCCTGTCAGACAGGATTCCTTCAGATTTCAATAACTGGTAAAACAAACAGTGTTGGGGCAGCATGGACCAAACACGGACTGAAAACAAACAAGACCCAGCTTTTAATTATTAAAGCTACAGAAAGAGCTCATCATCATCAGAACACCTTGCAGAAGGACGGGTTTTCCTTAGGGTCATTCACGAGAGGCTTTCCCCGGCACACCCACCCCGGCCCCCCGAGGGAGCTGTGTGCGCTCTCCCGGCTGCCTGCCGCTGTGCGCGGCGGTGCCACGGGCACACGGGGCGATGCTGGTGCTGCGTGGGCTCGACAGGAGGCAGCCAACTGCTGTAAGGCAGGGGGCACGCAGGGTTTGTGCGCTGTGTGTGAGCACGTGGAAGCTTTACCTGGAAACCCTCACAGGAGGCGTCAGCCCTCATTTGTAGTGACGATGATGGAAAGCGATCGCGAGGACTGAGGCTGGGCTGCGCGCGTCCAGCCCCCGCGGTGCTCACTGGGAGGTGCCACGAGCCCCCTGCCCTCACATTTTGGGTAGGAGCGAGGCGCACGGGCAGAGGCCTGATGCAAGCGGCCGGCCGTGTCCCCGCAGGGGCGCAGAGCCCCCCGCACGGGTTGGCACACAGCCGAGGGCACCGCGTGGGATGCGCCCTGCCAGGGGGTGCGTGGAAATGTGAACGTGCGTCTCGTAAATCACCGCGATCTCCTTTCGGCCAGCAAAACGCTGACTCAAAGCCACGTGAATCGCTCCCCTTTCCTAGCATTAATTATTGAAGCAAGAACGCCAGACGCTTTAAGTGGAGCGCTGTGCGATCTCTAATGGGTAAGGAGGTAACTTTCCGAGCCCTCATTGCCGGGGAGCAGCGAGGAGCCGAGGGGTGAATCAACACATGGCAGCAGGAAGGCACCGATGGCCATCTTGCAGTAGGAGGCAGGGACCTACTGCACGCAGCCAACTTGGGATGCTGCAGCCTACAGAAACCGAGAGGAGCTAAATCCAGAGGGCTACAGAGCTGGAAGAAAACACTCCTCTTTAACCCCTAAACTGCTTCATGCAGCTCACCAGGATTTGCATCTAAATAAACGGCCAGCTTCCAATAACGAGGACACTGATAGCATTTCTTCTATGTATTTAAACACGTTAAGTTACAGAGATCTGGTGAGGAAGAACTCAGGAGGAGCAGCGCCGATGCGCACACTGAGACACACACTGAGCAGCTCTGCTCGTCTCCCGTGCTCTGTTTGGAAGATGCCTTCCTGTAGGCTTCCTGCACTCCCCCTTCAAGTTGCATTCCCAGCTGAAAACAAAACAAGCTGCTATTTGAAAGAAAGCCTGCGAAAGGCGTAAGAAATGAAAGAAATTAATCACAGAGCAAGAGAATGAAAAAACACCACCCAGCTACAACCCCCGTGTTATTTCACCACCTAATTGCTTTGTTCCGGAGTTAAGCAGCGATGTTCATGCTCCCTTTCACACCAGCTCTTCACAAAACAGGAATTCTCCCTCGCTTGTGAGACAACAGCAGCGCTTTAAGCTTAAAGCCCTGATTTCATTTATGTAACCTATCCAGCGGCACAGACGCTGAGTTTCAGACACAGCCCCAGGCCTAGCAAACAGCACGTATCTAGCGGAAAGCCGCCCAGAGGAGACCTTTAGAGCACCTGTACGATGTCTGAACGAGGTGGCTCTAAATATACGTTCATTTACATCCTGAAAACGCTCGGTACGGGCTGAGCACCTGCGTGCCTGCCAGCTCACCGAGCTCCCTTCTGTGCAGCCTTAGGATCCGAAGCGGCACGAGGAAGGCAGGCTGGTTTCTGTATCTCTGTATTTCTGTATTTCTGTATTTCTGTATTTCTGTATCTCTGTATTCCCTTCGCTCCCCGATTCCGCAGGCAGAAAGCACGAGGAGTTCAGGACGCCTCCAAACACGGAGCCGAGGCACACACACACAGCAGCCCGACACAGACACCTGCTGTATTTTCAGCAGCTACTGCACCAGGGCCGGGCTGCGCGGCGGCTCCCGGCTCCCAGCCCCTGCCGGCAGCACCCCCGGATCCGCTCACAGCGCGCCCCAGCCGCCGGGACAGGCACCGGGCACCGGGCACCGGGCACAGCCCCACCGCCACCAGCCCCGCACCGGGGGAGCCGCGGTGCCCGTAACCACAGCAACGCGGCACCAAAGTACGGGGAAAAGTTAGGAGCGGGGAGAGCGCTGCCCGCGGGGCTCGGATGCGCTCCTCACCGGGACACGGCGGCGGCACCGGGCGGCACCGGGGGACCCGTCCAGGGCCGGTCCCGTCCCGTCCCGCCCTGCCCCGCCGAGCCACCGGGACGGCCTCGGGGCTGCAGCCCCCTCCCCTCCCCTCCCTTCCGAGCGCCCCCCGCCCGCTGCCCCCCGTTCCCCCCCGTTCGCCCCGTACCTCAGCACGGCCGTGTCCCCCTTGCGCACCACCAGGCTGTCCGCGGCCACCCCGGGGAAGTCTCCGCCCGGCGCTGCGATGCGGCCGGGGGGCAGGAGGCAGCAGAGGCCGAGCAGCACGGCCGCCAGCCACTGCTGGGAGCCCCCGGCGCCCCGCACCGGCGGCGCCATCCCCGCGCCGCTCCGCGCTGCTGCCCCTGGGCCCGGCGGCGCCCGAGCGCGGCCCCCGGCGGCGGCGGCGGCGGCGGCCCCTTGGTGCTGCCCGCGGTCGGCGCCCGAGCGCGGCGCGTGGCTGCTCCCGGGCGGCCGCCGCAGCATCTATAGCGCGCGGGAGGAGGGCAGCGAGCCCGCTCTGCGCTCTGCGCTCTGCGCGCCGCGGCGGCGGCGGCGGCGGCGGGCGGCCCCCGGGCTGCCGGCGCGTTGCCATGCAGCCGTTACCCCGGCAACCGGCCTGGCGGCGCGCGGCCGCGCGCAAGGGGGGAGCGGGGGCGCGCGCGCAAGGGAGGAGCGGGGGCGCGCGGCGGCAGCGCCGGGGACCGCGGGTGGCGCCCGGCCCGGCCCCGCCGCTGCCCCCCGGCCACGAGCAGCCCGCACGGCCCCCCCCTGCTCCCGGTGCGCCTGGAGAGCGGCCTCAGCAGGGAGCACCCCGCCAGGGCTCTGCCACAGCACCACGGAACTGTCCGGGCTGGCAGAGAGCTCGAGATACCGAGTCCGGGCTCTGAGCTGGCACCGACCAGCCCCCCGCTAAGCCCAGCTGTTAGAGGGACACGCGGTCCGTCCCCTGGGTGTTTGGCCCTTGCTCACTGCACCCCGCTGCAAGGGGCCTGCCCCTTCCCTCGGTAAAGGAGGAGGGGGAGAGACCAGCGCACAGAGCTTGGATGTGGAGGACTCGCCCTCAGCACAACGCAGCCCCACCAGGACACAGCTCCAGCAGCTCCCTGCGCTGCCGCTGCCCCATGCAGGGCTCCTCAGCCAGCCCTGCACACCCATCTCCCAGCAGGGCAGCCTCTAACCACACATTGCCATTTCCCTCACTGATGAGGGGCTGTTTGACACCGACCGGCCTGGCCCATGCCACCACCATCACCACCCCACCGCCACCAGCGGCTGCATCCAGTCAAACAGCCATCTCCTCCGCACGGCTCCCATCCCACTGCTCAGAGGCTCTCAGGTGTAATACCAGCACAATCCCTCATCTCTGCTGCAAAACAGTCCCTTCCACCACTTCCCAAATCAGTGCACACCTCACTATTTTTCAGGTTAACCTGAAACCAGGTGGTTTCTTTTTTGTTTGTTAGGAGAAAAAAAAAAAAGTTTCTCAAGGCTGCCTTTCTGCTCTTCCTTTCAACAACTAAGCTAAGCACCCAGACTAGATAATGCCATTATTTCATAGAATCATAGAATCATAGAATATCCTGAGTTGGAAGGGACCCTTAAGGATCATCAAGTCCAACTCTTGACACCGCACAGGTCTACCCAAGTTCAGACCATTTCGTAGCAAACACACAAACGAGTACAGATCCACGAGCTCAGCCCCTTACCCTGCAGTCCCCAGTGCAATGTGGCTCCTAGCGTAACTGGTACGCAAAATATTTCTATTACAGCAGCTCTGACAACATTTGTCAAATCTATGAATCCTTTTCCAAGTATTTGGGACAGAACACTTAGGAATGTCTCTCTGATCTTCAGCGACACGTCTTAGTCTTTGGGGGAAAGACCTGTCCAAGGTGCGATGCTTTCCACAAGCATGTCGTGTTGGTATGGAGAAGAGGCAGCCCTGTAACCACGTGGGAACTGGAGAAGCCGCTGAAGTGTTTTGATGCATTAAGTGCTCGGATCATCTAGTGAAAGATGTGATATAATAGTCGAGATCTAATTTTAGGGAGAGCTCTGCAATCTTTAATGAGTCACATGATGTCGCTTTTACTTGACCTTAATGAACAATCAAATAATTTGCTCCTCCTTAAATAAGGAGCAGAAAAGACATTTCCTCAATAACATTCTATTAATTTCACGGAAGATCACATAAATCTCAATCAACAATAGCCAATATATTTTTTTTTCACTTCTGGATTCCTGTTCCCTGGCTCTCAGGCTAGTTGCAGAGCAATGGAGAAAGAAAGCAGGTCAGGAGTCAATAACAGCTATGCCAATCAGGGGTGCTCCAGAGACTAAATTCTTTCATCTGAATCTCCCTCACCTCCCCCCAGTCCAGGAAGCTTGCAGAAAAAAATAATAATCTCATACCAGCTGTACACACACACAGAAAAAATATTTCCAGGGGCAGGAAGGGGGGGAATGGACATGACACAGGGACACAGACACACTCTGCCACTTCAGCTAGTTTACTGTGAATGCCCTGTGGCCGTTGTAGCATGTTAGTGTCTCCTCAAGGAGCTGGGTACTTCACACAGAGCAGCGGTGAGGCCGTATGATATTTCCTGTGATTCGGCAGTGTATTTTTGTTTGGAGTCATTTGGAACAGCTACATGTATCGGTGGTTTGCAAGTACTTGTTTGACAGTTTGCACAGACATTCAAGACTGGTTCACAAACTTCACACTTGCCTTTTTGTTTCTTTTCTTCCTCTCCTGAATGTCTTAATGCTAGTGACAGAAGATGGAAGCTGAACGACTAGAAAAAACTGAGACTGGGTATGTTCGGTCAGCGTCCTGAAGGTAGCGTTCATGATGAGCAGAGTAACAAGCAATTCAGACATCTGAGGGCAGAGCCCTGCGGTACCCTGCCTGCTCTGCACAGACCCAGGCGCTGCTTTTGGGCGCAGTAACCTGCCCCTGGATGCCCCTCGCATGGCACAGTGGGGAGCTGGCAGGCCGCTGATTTTCAGTGAGCTCTGCCAGTTCAGTCAGATCCTAATACCTGGTCATGGCAAATTCCAGCTGGTTTCATTTTTGCGTCCTTTGGACAGAACCACCGACAGCTAATAGCCCCTGCGTTGGTCAAGAAGTTGACCATTTCTTCACATTCTAACATTGGCTGGAAACGTGCGTGTTGTATTGCAGGTCCTAACAGCATCCACGCCAGCGGCATTTCCAAGGTACCTCTGGCCTTCTGAAACAAGCACACTGCGGTAACGGGAGGCGTTCTGCCCTGTAGTCTTGTTAATGGCTCAGATCAAAATCTTGTTACCCGGACCTCCATGAGAATCGGGTGGGTAATTCCCATCTATCCAATGGCCCAGAGAGTTTCTGGAGTCTCCTTCTCTGCAGATATTCAAAGCCATCCTGTGCAACATTTCCAGAGGCATCTTCCTACCTCAGCCATTCTGAGATGCTTTGATTTTGTGATTTGTTCACTTCTGAGATACATATTTTGAAAAGTATTCAAGAATTTCAATCTAGTTGCCCAATGACTTTAATGTCATACACTGTCTGGGAACGGCCACCTGAGAACTGCCATGATAGGAACCCTGGTAACAAAGACTTTGTTTCTGCTTTCTAAATACATGATAGATATTTTGGAAAACTTGGAGTCTTTTCGAACAACATGGAAGAAAAACAACAAAGAGCAAACAAACAAACAAACTTGGCTACTCTGTATTTTCAGAGTTGTATCTTGTGTCTAAATTCACAAATGCTTTGGAATTTTGAAACAATTTTACAATGACCAAAAAACAGTAGAATCTGCCAGGTAATGAATAAAGCATTCCCAGAGGTAACAGTAGTTAACAAATTTTAATTGAAAATCTTCAAATTAAGAAAAAAAAAGAAAAGAAAAAAATTTATTAGATTAGAAACAGCTTGTCCTAATATTCTCAGGCAATATTCTCTATTTTTTTTTTTTTTTTGCCCCTCTTCCTTGTACAAACACATCACATAAGTAAGGACAACACTGTACTGCTGTGCAAAATCTTCTGAGAAGCATACAGCTACAGCTCAGCCTTCTTTGATGGTGTTCCAAGTTGTCTAAAATTTGAACAAACAACCTATAGCACCCAAATAATTTTTGAGTTTTAGAATTCAAAGAGCAATTTGTGATGTTTCCGCAGAGCTGCTGTGTAAAAGAGCTCATCTGGATGGGTTCCAGTGCATCATCAGTTACAATGCACAAATGTTCCACAAAATGCATTCTCTGAAAATTTCAATTGAAAGGGGAGGTTGCAGAGAAAGTTAAGAATGGGATAAACCTCAGAAAACAGACAACTTTCATGTCTTTAAATAAAAAAGTTTGTATAGCTCTTTTCAACTATCTACTTTTTAAAAAATACTGTATATAAAAATGTAAATAGTGATTTTGCCAAGTATTGAAATTAACAGAAATTTCCTTTTAAATAAGTATCTCTTCCACAGATAACCTCAGAAATCATGTACATGTACTAAAAACGGGTGGTTTTTGCTAGCACAATTGAAAGCAAATGCTGAAATTTCCATAAAATGCATTTTCCATTTTCTGCATAATCCAGAATGTGACTACGTACAGAAGGGCTCAGTAAAATATTCTCCAAAATTATTTCCTGTACTTCAGAAACGGCAAGAATCCTGGTGCGCTATCGTATAAGCTAGCACCTACTAGCTGTAAAAAGTCGTTCTTTTAGCACCAGAACAAATGGGCTCTAATATCCTGAGATTTGAGTCATCTTTTCTGAGTTTATAACTTGATAGAACACGGCTGCAGAACAAGCTCAGCCCATACTCAACATCAAAAAATGCATATAATAAAGAATTCTCAAAGGAGGATTGAATCTATGGGTGCCTATTTATAAAACACAAGCTCTAATTATACCTTTCTCAGGCACAAGGCGTTCATAATGTCACTTCTCCGGATTCTCTCATGTCTGAGAAGACTTGTGCCGCATTCCCCCCATCGCAGTGCAGGGACGTGCTACACGCACAGCGATATACACTGAAAGCCACGAGGCATAAGTCATTTCCATCTCACGTCCATCATTATTCAAGCAGGGAAACTCAACAGTGCAGGGAAAAAAGAAAAAAAAAGTGGAACAATTTCTTCTTTAGCATTTATGGAGGCAGCAGGAAGAGCAGTACTGACCCAGGGCCTTGTAAATCAGCTTTCTTAGCACGAGAGAAGCACGGCAATTCCACTCGCATTCAAGATCCTCGTTCTGACATCTCGGCTCTCCTGCCTGACAGAAGCACACGTGCCTCTTTAGGTTCTTGGTTGGCTTAACCAATCCTCTGTGGGATAAGATTGCACACAGTACAAGGCTATCAGCAAAAATGTAGTCATATGTGGGTGAATGAAAACATTTTCTTCACCATATGGTATACTATGGAAATAATTGCCAAATGACAGAAGCTCGCTAATATTGATGCCAAATACATAGATAATACTGTCAACTTATGATCAGCCTACATCTTCCTATTTTAAGGCATACAAGGGAGTGCAGTTTGAAAACATCCACAAGAAGCTTCATACTGAAGAACTCTGCAGAGAAATAGGTTCCAAATATGTACAGAAGTTTTGTTGTTTTTTGTTTGTTCTTAACTGTTTGGAGCTCTTTGAATCACAAAGGTGAGGAACAGAGCTGGTTACGTGGAAAGGTAACTTGAAAAAAAGTTTAAGATGAGATAAGCCCTGCATGAAATATGTCTTGTGGCTACTGTTCTGCAGGCAGTAAACACCCTCGCTGTTTGGTCTGAAGTGGAGCACAGAAAGGAAATGTGGAGTTTGTGTTGCAAGCGTTTACAACTCTCCCTGCTTGAGAAGAGTCAAGACACTTAGTCGAACAGCATGACGTAGTGCTTGCAAACGTTTTTAGCATTAGGGAAGTGCACAAAAGGTTGTGTTTTGTTTATTGTTTTGTGTGTTCTTGCTGCTGTCAGAAGGTCATTTTAAGAAACTAATTTTTTATCTGCAATATATTCTAAACTTATAAACAGGCCACAGTTGCTCCTTTGATATTTTTCAGGCTGGAGATGTGCAGAACAGTCATTACTGAAACGAGCAGGTTCGAATCCTATTTCCTAACCTAGACATTCGTATTTTACACCAGCTCGTATTGGGATCCCTCGCTGTTGCAGCCAGGGCTGATAACTCAAACCAGCCAGGATGTGCTGTATGTCAAAACTTAACAAGTGTGGACAACCTGTGAATGTGTGCTCGACAGTCCAGATCATACTTCCACGTTAGGATTTCATTTGCTCATCAGGGAGCATTCTGTCTCAATAACCTCTGACACCGCTCGCAAATGTCTCAGCCCTGGGAGAGAAGCTCCTAAAGCTCACACGCCTCGCAGGATGGAAGGGCAGAGACTGCATATGCAGGGCAGGAGGCATCGGAGAAGTTAGGATGCTTTTGCCTGCCGATAAAAACCCTTAGTTGTGGGTCTGATGGAAGGGCAAAAAGCATCCCCCAGTGTTATAATTATCTACCCTACCCTTATTATTGCAACAAGGGACTCTACCCCCTATTTTCTGAGTGAGAAAGTAGAATTAAAAAAAATAAATCCAGGAGTATCACTTACACTCCTTTGGGAGGAGATTACCTACACTATAATATTATGGGATTTTTTAAATTATCTGTTTCTTCTTTTTAAAGCACAATAAGGAATGTACACTCATTGTCTGGGAATAGGAGGCCTTGCCATGTCCAGATTGCTCATCCAGAGCATTATTCTTTTATTCTTCAGGCTAATCGAACTATATTCACCCCATCTACACTCATACCCCACCCATCTTCCTTGTTGGTGTCTTCTGGGGCCCCTCTAACTGGTTCACAGTGCCGTTGTCCCTGCTGCTTTCACGCCACTTGGGCAGACCTTACTCTGCCGTGAAGCCGCTTCAGGCCCTGCTCAATCCCTGCTCAGCTCCGTGCTGCCTGGAGCAGCTGCTGTGCAGGCGTCCTCCGAGCCACCCTCAGTCTGTTTCTCAAGCACGGGCTCGCCCCCAGCCCACAGCCAGCAACCCCGAGGCACACTGTGCACACTGTGCCGTTTGAGCCAAGCTGCACATCGGATGCTCTGAACCATCACACCCATTCCACAGCAACTTCATCACCCGAGCTCTTCTCACAGCTTTCCTTATAAAAGGTGTTTTGCAGGAAGACATCAAACATCCTAGAATCAAGTGGATTGCCATGCAGTTCTTTCCTTATTCACTGGGTCCGTTATCCCGTAGCAAAAGCAGAAGTGGGAGGAAATGATTTTTTCCAAGGGCTGGGAGGAGGGCACGCAGCACTTTAGAACAAGAAAATAAAGACCACTGATCACAGCATATCAAATAAACCAACTTGATAAATTGATTAGTGTGCTGACTTCATATTAGCCCGCTCTGTTCTCTATTTGATTTACATGTATAATTTAGCTTACTTGTTTAATCTCGTTAATAAAACATTAGATTGGCAGTCTGTGAGGATTGCATGTTTTCTCCCCAGGTATTAGGATTAAAAACCTAAGGAATCTCCAGGTAGTAACTTTGTAAATCTCTGGGCGATGGTACAAAGAAATGCCTTATAGCACTTCCATAATTGATGCTTGAATCGCAGCACTGCTGGAATCTGTAGGAAACAACATTTGCATATCAGTCATTTTTTTTTTTCAATACTAGCAACAGGGGCTTGGGAACCTTTGAGGAACGGCTGTGGTGGATAGAAACCAGCCATCAGAAAGGTTGATCACTTTCCTGAGAAATCAATCTCCGCTTCTCACAGTGTTTTTAAGTGAAAATGCACCTGCTCCATTTGGATTCAATAATAAGAGCAGAGTTATGACATTACTAGGAAAAACACATGAATAAAACAATGAAAATGAACTCAACTTTGGCCACGCTTATGGCCAAGAAAGGAAATGGAATTTCATGGTCACATTATCAGAGACCAATTATCCTTCTGAACAATAAAGAATTTGTACGAGAAGAAATTTAACAGTAGAACAAGCAAAGCCACAAAATAAGCACCACAAAGCTTGATTTATCTAACCAATCTCAGGCAAGTTGTCTGGCTCATATTTTGAATGCTCACAGTCCGTCCTCGGTGCAGCATTTTAAGAAGATACTGTATCTGTCAAATAAATTGAAATAACCACGAGAAATGAACCACAATCTGCTAGTGTACAGTAGACTTAGAAAACAAGCTGCATGCATCAAAAAAAGTGCATCTTGCCAACACACACGCTTTTATTTCTGGTACATAACTTACCTGGCTATGCTTGCTTATGCACACAAACGGACATTTCATGCAGAGCAAATCAGAAATACTCTTAACAAATCTTGGCCCCGCGTAACATGGAGACAGACCACTGCTGAGGTTGATACGGATAAATCGATCGATCTGTTTGAAAGGCTAAATTTTGAGGAGAAGCATCTCAACATCATTTAAAGACAATCATTTTCAGTTACTCAAAAGAAACAAAACAAAACACCTGAACGATCACTAGTACACCTGCCAATGAAGCACTCATTTGCAGATTTTTAAGTAACAAATCTCTGTTCTCAATCAGAGGAACTTTAAAAGACTGAGTCAGATATTATTATCCTAAAAGTGAACATCTCGGTTAACTTTGAAAGTTTAGAATTACTGTTTTTAAACTAAAGTATCAATAAAATAATTTTGCATGGCCATACCATCACAAACCATTTTGCATCAAACATAAACCCACTGAAGCCTTAGCATATCTTTTTTTTTCCTTTTAGGAAATGATGCTTCTGTCACCAGATATGTTTGTATTTGCAGCCTATCTACCATGAACAGCTTTGCAAACGGTTGATTGATTTCAATCATGTTTGACATGAAGACAAAGGTCTAATGCTAATATGTAGCCACCAACATCATGAAATTAAGTAACCAGATACACTCCTATTAGTGCCCCAGTTGAGAGAAAAACCGCAGTGTGACCTTACGCTTTATGAGACACCAAGAACTCCATCTTGAAATGCAGAATATTGGGAAAACAGGTTTGCTTTAAAAGCGATTAAATGTTGATTAAAAATAAACAGACAAAATGCATGTGCCTGAGAATCTAAGTTGCTTCTAGGTAGGTCACTCTTACCAGAAATGACATTCTCAGTGCTTCCTGGGGCGGCTTTGCTCTTGCCATCAGCTCATGGTGTACCTTTGATTAAGGAATCGTGATGCCATCAGGCTTCCTCATGCAGGTGCTTGTAGGCAATAATCAACCCTTCAGATTTAGTCTCAAGCTCATAATTGTAAAGGCATGTTTTTCAGACCTTCATTCATTCTTTGTCATAATTTTCCTTAAATCTTTCTAATTTTTCGATTTCTATTTTAAAGCATGGAGCCCGCAGCACGGCACAGCAATGTGTATGATAGCAGCCGCCTCCACGCGGCTGTATCCCCTCTTTGTACTTCGTATTTCCCGCCGCCCATTCAGAGAACGCACGTCTTCAGGTACAAAACCAGCAGCAACTTCCTTTTTTCATAGATTTATGAACTCAGCTTGGAAGGCCTATTCAAATTCAGCATTCACTTAACCTGTTTGGCTCTCAGGAAGAATTACTGGCTTTTGTGACTACTGTTTTTGGAAAGCATCACAAATAAGAGGATGAACTTATGGCATAAATAGTAATCTCCGATACATAGGTGAGCTAAATCTAGCCAAGAATAAATCGCAGACAACGCCAAACTGGAAGCACTAATGCAATTATTTGGCATGCAGGCAGAGATATTCTACCTACTGCAGGCATGCAAGGTTCAAATGCTTGAGACTGACAGATCAAGGAGAAAAGAACCAACCTAAACAACGTAGCAATTACAATTTTAAATAACCTGGGATTTAATTTCAAGGCTTAACTGAAATCCTAGAAATCCTGATTGTGGCTTTTCCAAGTATGTGGAAAGGCAGAAGAATGAGCAGCTGGAATGAATGCCAGCAGCATTTTACCCCCTCCAGGAAATAAAACACAGAAGGCTTAAGAGCAGTGTGTCTGCCCAGGGCAAAATCTGGGAAATGATATTCAAATTCTAATCATTTGTTACTAATTAGTCAAGCGGTTTGAAATAACACCTCCACTACAGAAGTAATACCGTATCATCCACACGCAATTCCCAGAAGTTACGAGGTACCTGAGGTACAAGAATCAGCATACGGTTCCTAACATTGCTGCAGAAGTCAGGATTTATTAGTGGAATTTACACTGCAGGTAACACAGCACCTGGAAACCCACAAGCTGTGGAGAAATTAACGCACGTGCAAGGAAGAACACAGAAGCCAGAGGAGATGAGGGGCCCAAACCTGGCCTCCCCCAGTTTGGGAGGCGTACTGGCAGCTCTCTGCAGCTCCCCACGTCACTCGCAGACAGACGAGCAGTGAGGAGCAGCGTTTCTCTGCGCTGGTAGCAGCGCACTCATTGCTGCTTCAAAGGATGGATCAAAAGTTGACAACAAAATCAAAACCAGGACTGCAGCAAATCTGCAGATGATACGAGGGTGACCACATTAATGAAATAACCGACTCAGCCCTAAGACAAAGTTACTGTTCTTATGTAGATGAACCATTCTGTACTAATGCATGATCAAAACACCCGGAGCTGAAGTGCTCAGATGCACTGGCTGGTGGGCAAAGTAAGAGTAACAAGGTGGGATGCAGAACTGGGGGGGGCTGTGAAGAGTATCTTAATAGGAATGCTATAAACCAGAATAAATGTATCGTGCCACTAAATAATGCTACCAAAATGATTTAACTCAAAAAAAACAAAAAAACCTGAAGAATAACAAGTTTCACCAACACTCACACAAAGTTAACTGCACACACTGATAAAACAGAGATCGCAAAACCCCTGCCCCAACACACACAAGCGTAAAATAGGTGAAATAAAAGGCCACAGAAGTTTTCCCTTACTCAAAGAAATACAACAATGCACAAATTCTCATTTGTTATGTGGTCTTGTAAGTGTGCCAGGCGTGGATACGATTCTGGCCAGAGAACCTGCGACGGTGACGTCCTGCCACCACCCCTATTTTAACTAAACCATGGACTCCCCTTCTGCAATTACAAATAATCTGTCAAGAACTCAGTCATTCACTCTACAAAAGTATATCATTTATCTGTATATCTATCACTTTTTTTGCAGTATTGTTACAGGACAAGTTCTTTCCTCTTCACTTCCTTAAAAGAAAAAAAAAAGAAACCAAAAAGGATTGCCTTGGAGGATAAACGTCATTTTTCTACAGGAAAGGCCTACCCTATAACTGCATCACCCCATTTCTACTCATGCAGAGGGACTGTTTCTGTTGGGAGACACAGCATTCAGTAATCCCACTGTCAGGCTACCAAGGAGCAGCAGCAGCACAACTTTCTCTGAGGGCATTCCCAGTAAAGCAGCAGGCAGAAGAGCGACTCCCCAACAAGAACACGAGGCGCCACACAGCTGGCAGCTGTGCACAGGGGAGCACTGGTGTAGAACAGCGTCACTGTGAAACCACAGCGCCAAAGCCAGCGCTGGGGCTCGCAGAGAGCTGCCGGCTGCAGCAGAAGGCAGCGAGGCTCAGCAAAGTGCATGGAACTGCCTTGTGCCCCCCTCACAGCCCTGAGGGCTCTCCTGTGTTATCCTAGAGTACCACCAGTGCTCCTCTCCTGCTGTGCAGTGACTACACATTACAGAAATACATCATTTATAAGAAAAAGTCAGGCTCCTTACCTCAGCACCAATCCCAGTGACGGCTCTTTTCTCTCAGGGGGTGCCAGGAGTGAAGCAGTGGGCAGCAGCACCTCTGGAGCTAAAACTGCTCCTTCCCCCTCTGCCCTTAGGGCTGGGCATTTTCACCGCTGCATTTCCCACTCGGCAGCCTTCCCACAGCCTCACAGAGTGGTCCTCTGCCAGCAGGTTTGGTGTTCTGCTGTGGTCTGCACAGAACGGCACCGTCCCCCAGCGCGTGGGCCAGGAAGGTCCAGCCCTCTCCTTCTCCTCTTGGTGATCAGTCCCAGAGCATCCACGGAGGACAGGCGTGTGTCAGGGCTTGCTGCTGGAGCCAGGCGATGGAGCTCCCCGGCTGGGGACCCACTTCTTGCAGCCCCACCACAGGCTGCCCCCAGGTTTTGCAGGTGGTTACGCCAGGAAAGGAATATGGAAGCAATTCCCAATATGCTGGGAAACTTGCTCAGACACCTAGGAAATTAAAATAAAACCACATTATGTAATATACAGGTGTTCCTGTACTGACTGTACACAGTCTCCATTGTTTATCGAAATAAAAAGGTTAAAAAAAGATGTATTTTAATACAAACTAGCTCAAGAAGGTAATTCTGGCAAACATACTACTTCGCTAATATATTTTCAGAAGTTTTCTTAAACACTGGTCTCCAACACACAGCTTTATCTCAGGCACTGAGAAACCTCCTGTTACCTGACTGTGCTCTCTTCTGCTCTTCCCTGGCATCCCTTTGCTTTCTCATGTTTTCACACATACTCAAAGACGACTGCAATTCTTGAATTTCTACTGTCTTAGCCCTATAAGTAACGCTTAGTAGGAAATATTTTTTTGGAGTTTATTCTCACTGTGTGCTGAAATCAAGAAGTGCAGGAGTAAGTCATTATCCAGCCCTCTTTGAGAAGCCCGTGGTACTGCCTGCATTTACAGAGGCAGGTGTCATAAGAGGACTGACTGAAACAAGCAGGGATCCAAAACACGCACTGCCACTAATTTGCTTGTAAGTTGCTTCAAGAAAACTTTGTTTTCACCCCCCAAATTCAGTTGCAATTACACCTGAGACTTCTAATTAAATACATTTTGGGAAAAAAAATAATAAAATCAGAGAGATCTATATTTGCAACCATACAGCCATCCTATTTTCTCATATTGAATGGATGAAACTTTACCCACAGCCCCAGATTTAAGCCTCCTAACAAGTTAACACGTGGGAAGGGGAGTTCATCTTCACAGAGATTTGAGGCACCATCTGTAAAAATAGCCCTGGCTCTGACATAGAGCCGAAACGGAGGTCAGCAAGGAAGGGAGCTGACTTTAATGCTATAGCATCTCTGAATAGTCAGCTTCTAACCACTCATGTGATGACCAAAAATTGATCAGACAAATTTCTGTTCCCTTAAGCCTAGAACAAATTAACCTTTGCTGTATTATAAGAAAAAGGAGCCCAACTTCCACTTCCTAGGAGACAGAAAATGTCAGAGGAAAAGCTGCTGCCTGCCTGCAGTCCCGCTGACAGCACGAGGGGATGGCGGCCGCACCGCGTAAGGAAGATGGAAGCAGCATCAGCTTTTTATCACGTTGTTTGCATCAGATAGGTCAATACCCCCTCCAAATGAGGCTCGAATAAACCACTCTAAAGAACCCAAGCACCGTAACTCCAGAAATACCGCTCCTTCCTGCACCTGGCTCTCGAGGCTCGGGAGGCAGCTCCTTGTTACCGATTCCAGTCAAAACAGGCTGAAGCAGAAGTGTCTCAACTTTACGCAGGCAGTGATTTATTTACAGCAGGTGAGTGGCAGCAATGGTATTTATGAAAAGAAAATGCTCTAGCAAAAAGAAATCCAAGACAACATTTGACAACCGAGCACTTTTGGTCAAAGAATTATTTCTCTTAACAAGTGCTTGAGTAGTTTTTGTTGAAAGAACAGCATTGTTCAAAAACCTCTACTGCAGAAACTGTTTCATGGAAAAATTTAAAGCAGACTTAAGCTATGTCAATGACAGTGACATTCTATTTAGCACAGCCTTTTTCTGAAAATGCAAAATCTGTATGGTCTCGGAAGCTGTGTAACCCCTGCACTACAGCAGCTCTGCACACTGATGCACAGCTTTCATGAGAAGCATGGTAATTCAGGGCAGCATTACCATGAAAGTCAGACGTTTTGTTCCTTGGTTTGTGACAGCTAGAAGAAAGGTCAGATGGGGTACCACAACGTGTCCCGGGCCTCTTGCAAGGCTCTGGAAGCATGGAAGTTTTGACAGCTTGGAGGCAGTTACTTCATCATTTTTTGTACAGGCTGCTTCATTCATCAGCAGAGCGATACGTAACATCTCCGTGCTGCTGCGCTCCCAGCAGACAGAGCCCATGTCACAAGCATTACCCCGCGTGTGACACAGGACGGATGAGGGGTGACATGCCTTCATAGCGGCCTGAGCATTGAGATCAGCCTGAAACTGAACTTCATCCCTGTAGCTGCCACGGCAACTGAGCAGCATAACAGTGTCTCATCCACTGATTTTAAAGTGGACACAGGTGAGGTTTAAGCAAGACACAGTTAAGAACCACTAAACACTCACGGCAGCAGTGCCGAGGAAAGCTCTGGGTGTACCGTACCCAGGGACACAGCTGGAAGGTATGGCGCTTCTCTGAGGCCCTTCTGGTGCTCACGTCCTTCCTCCTGCTCCAGCTGGCACCTCTGTGCCTCCTCACCTCCCTGCTCCCATCTCCGCACCCATTTCTCTGAGGACGATTTACTTTCCTTTCTAAGCCCAATGCTGAGGGACTCTGCTGGGTGCCACTTCGCCAGTGACATTTTTAACTTCGCTGCAGGAAAACTCCACCTCGCGTGACTTCTACTGCAGGAGCCTGCCAGATACTGAGGCTGGAGCACATTCCTCTCCTGCCTCTACTTGCAAACTGCAAATGCAAAACAGAACAGCATTGCAGCTCACGTTCTGGCAAAGACTAACTCAAAATAAAAGTATCAATCACATAGAAATAATTTATCAATACTTACATTAGGGTGCTGGAAATAAGAAAGGAAAGTGACAAGAAAAAAGAAGAGCTCTTACTACGATTTCTATGGCCACAGAAAAAGTTGGCCTTTATTCTAGTTAAAAACTTAAATTTAGCTGTTTAGCATTTCAGCTAAATAAACCTCAGGCTTATTTGGTACGAGGCATTTAAACCTACCACTTGTGAATATGTAGCTGGCCTTACTGCAGCGTAATCACAATGAAGCACTAAAACCAACTCTAATTATTAGCAACCAGTGTTATAGAGATACAAAAAAAACAAAATCACTTTTCCAGAGACCACAGAGGGAAACTCACTGGGAACGATTTACAGAAAGGCAGCTCCACCAAGAAGCAGAGGTGGCTTGCACTTCTATGGAAAATGAATTTCAACAAAAACTGACTGATGAAAAATTGCAAAAACTTCAGTGGCACTTACAGGAAAAAAAAGTAATTACTTAAGTAAAAAAACATTTTGTGCAGTTGTTACAAGTGTTGGTCATGCACTGTATTGGCTATGCAGCACAGTTTTACCATGTGTCACCAGTGCCCTGCAAACAGTAAGGATCCCATGGCTGGCGTCAGCAGAACTTCGGCACCTCCTGTGCATTATGGCCTGTGCGGGCCAGTGGGCTAACAGCAAAAACACTATTTTATTTATTTACTTGTATTCAGATCCTGGATGTTACTTTTTGGCTGTAATCTAATTAAGCAAGCTGTATTATGATCCTGTGAATAGGCTTTTCTGTCATACAGTCAATTTTTATCAGTTGTTGGCTTTATAGCCCATCAGTCTTACTTCTCTCCTTGCAAGAGATAGCAGCCAGAGATTTCTACACAACAACAAAAACTTTTCTGTTGGAAAAGCTCATTATAATTGTCTCCTCGCTTTCATTACTTGGGAATTGACATCAGGACAATGTTTTACTGTTCCAGAATAGGTCCCGTTTCCTGTGTGAACCACAACACGTGTAGGATTATTATTTTACACATCCCTTTGGATGTCAAGATCCTGATACAGGGTACCACGACAAAGCCTCACAGCTCTGGAAGTCCAGAAGGAGAGATGCCCAAATGGCTCAGAGGCAGTGGAGGCTGCTCCTGCCCCTCCCAGGTGCCTATTTAGGTTAATATCCAATGAAAGTTTTGCTAGTCTTCAAGATCCCACATGGCACGAATGCTTGACAGGTGAATTTCAAAATAGATTTCTTTCCCTCTCAAATTTCAGAAAGATTTTGATCTTTGGCATCAATATATATTTCAAACATGCGTAAGTGGAAAAATTCATTAAAAAAAATCCATCATTTAATAAGCTCAGTGACAACTTAATTCCTTTCTTTTGCTGTAGAACTTATTCAGAAAAAGTGTTTTACAAAAAATACTTGTAATAAAGGTTCTTATCCAATGATTTTGATTCTTTTTTTTTTTTTTTAAAGTCAGAAAAAAAACAGAATGAACTAGAATGATTTTCAGTTAAACTTGGTACCACCTTACATGGGAAGTATCCCAGTGAGGCAAATCTAAAAATAGTGGAATTTAGTCCAATGCTATATCTGATATTTTCATTGCAGGGATATCCAGTAAATAAAGGATAAACAATACAGAATTGTATTATTTTTAATCTATTTTTTTTTTTCAGTTTGAAAGAGTTGCTTCTGAAGAGACCAGCAAGCCTTAGCACCCTCTGCTCAGTGCCAAGTGCATGACACGACTCGCACTAGATCGATGTTCCCGAAGTCTTCTTTAGAAGGCTCACCCGGTTGTGGGGACGTAAACACGGTAACAACATCTCTAATTAAAACAGGCGGGTGCTGCATGCCGCTCATTGCTACACCTCCCTCTCCCAGGCTGCCTGGCCAGGAGGGCAGCAGCAGGAGCATCCCCCCTGCTGCCAGGGGGAGCGAGGCGAAGCGCTGGACGTGGCGCACTGATGGGATTTCTTGCACCAAGAGCTTCTCACACCAAACGGGTGTCTCTCACCAGTCACACCATTCAGTTAATCTCAGCTCAGACCCCAGGTACCAGGGCAGCCCCCTAAGAAATGTTGTAATAATGCTATCACTTTGTGAGATCTTTGAAGAAACCATACAAAGCAGTAGGGGCAAGTCCTGCAGCCGGCCAGGGGAGAACGTAGAAAAGGACAAAGAAACTTCTCTCACCATTAAACAAAGTAAGATGGCTTCACAGTATCAGAACAGATTGTTTCCCTTCGCAGCAGCTTGGATGCAGCCAGAACAATCAAGCTGGGACCTGATCTGGAAGCACAGTTCGCATTAGCTGCTACAGATTAATTCCATAAAACTCAGATCTGATTTGTTGGCTTTTATTGACCAACAACTCAGTGCTAGGTGGAGCGTTGCACAACTGACTTCTTGTCAGCAATACTATCTTTCAGAAAGGCAACGAGGCAACAAACAGATCTCCTTATCTACACTTGAGGCAC